GTGATCATAGATAAAGGGCAGAGGAAAGCCGTTGTAGTGGATGTAGCGGTCCCAAGTGATGGAAACATCAGAAAGACGGAACACGAGAAACTCGAGAAATACCAAGGACTCAGAGAGGAGCTGGAGGGAGCCTGGAAGGTAAAGGTGACAGTCGTGCCTTTGTTGGTCGGAGCACTCGGGGCAGTGACCCCCAAACTAGATAAGTGGTTGCAACAAATCCCGGGAACAACATCGGACATCTCAGTCCAGAAATGTGCAGTGCTGGGAACAGCAAGGATACTGCGCAGAACCTTCAAGCTTCCTGGCCTCTGGTAGAGGACCCGAGCTGAATGAGGAACAGACACCACCCGAGGGGTGAGACGAGGATTTTTTTTTTTTTTTTTATATATAAAATACTGTGTATCCATTATTTTCACACCACAGCAAGCAAATAACCTGACTGAAAAGTCATTGTTAATCATACCAATCACAGTCATGGTTTCATGAAATTAAATGCACAGATATCCAGAACCTTGCTCAACACATTCATAATACAATGTGTTGTATTATGATGTATTATGTGTTATGTGTGCGCTTGTGTCTTGTGCCTGAAATAGGCAGCATTTTCACAGTCCCGCTTTGTTCAGCAAAAAGGCCGGTGCTGATGGACAGTCTGTGGCTGGATGGATGCATGGGTTGAGGAACCGACGATGGGAAGAAAGGAGCGTCAGCGCAGAGCGCCGATGCTGGAACTGGGAGTCATGTCTTGGAATTGATGCGGATTTACATGGGGCAGGAGAGGAGAACCAATCTCGTTTCGTTAATGGATGCCACAGCTTCTTGTTGCTTTCAAGCTTAGCTTGTAGCAGAAGGGTGCACATTTCACCATGACATCTTTGATCCACTGGTGGAAAGGTCACTTTGATCGCTCCTCTTTCATCTATAACTGCTTCAGACAACAAAGTGTATGCAGGAAAGTGGTTAAGATTGCACGATTGTCTCTGTCTAATGTGTTGTCTTGTATTATTTTGTCATTTTATGTTAACTTTTCTTTTGATGGAGGCACGGGCACCCGCAGCGGCTCCTCTTGTTGTATGTTGTTTTGAGAGGGAAGAAATTTCAACTCTGCTGGCACATTTGACAATCAAGTTGTCTTTGATACTTGATACAAGTAAGCTCAAACCTAATTAAAAGCAGCATTTAGAATTGTCAAGATTTAAGAACCTTTTGTGTCATTGTGCTTTAGATATATGATTTGTATGAATGGGCCATTACTCGCAGCATGAAATATGGTGATGGCTCTGATTGGCATTTAGCTCGGAAATGCAAGAGATGGCAGTCCACTATCAACAAAACCAGGGGCGTCACTAGGTTTCAAGAACAAGGGGGGCTTAGCCCCAAGGGGAACACAGCCCCTTTAGGGGGGTCCGGGGGCATGCCCCCCCGGGAGAATTTTTTTCTACATTCTGTTAAAAATCCATAAATTCCGTGCACTTTGAGAGCAAAATGAAGAGGCTATGAAGAACTACACACATCACATTAGTATCCTCTTTACTATGATGGGGCTTCCTCCCCTGGACTTTAACTGGACTAGATAATAGAAATTATAAAGAGTTCAAAAGTTCAATCTTGGTTGTTCAAGGGAATTAGAAGGATGCCCGATAACATAACCTATTTGACAGTAGGCCTATATTCCTCTCTACCAAAATGTATT